GATGAACTTGTTCGACGCTCAAAGAAATTATCTTAAAGATGAAAGTTTTTTTTTTCTTGTTAAGAAAGATAGTTGGGTTGGGAGAGTTGAGACGTGGGACTTGGGAAGGGAGAATGAAAGCTTCTAGAATATGGAGTTTTCCTTTTAACTCCTAATTTCCATTTTTTTATAATTTTTTTTGGTTGATATAAGTTTTAAAATATAATTTTAAAGAATATGTTAATTTGTCGTCCCACTCCCTCCCATCTTTTAGAATTTTTAATTTGAATTTTTAACTTTTCCTTAACATTAATTTTATTTTTTAAAAAAAGATATCCAATTAAAACTTGAAAGACATCAAAGGTAAATAATTCGAATCGAATATAAATTTTTATTTTAAATTTATAATTTTCGCAATTAGGACAACCCGATAATTGAGTGGTACCGAAAGGACGATTCGAGAGTGCTCACCCTTCCTCGATCGTAAACGACTCTCGAACCCGACAATTCTTTGATAAGATGCAGATCTAATAAATGGGCAAAATCAAGGTGTTTGATCTACCTCATTCGAAATGATTAGTGGGTACGTGATAGCAGATCGCGTCCAACAGAGGAACAATGGTTGTTTCGAAGCAGAAAACCTTTAGGATTGAAAAATCCCAAAAACATGATTTTGATGATAAATGTTATCAAATCGTGACGTTTTTCCATAGAACAGTGAGTGTTATTTTTCAAATCGTCGTTATTCATTGTTTTTCCTTTGTTTTTGTCATATATTTTTTTTAATAACTCTGGTTTTTGACCCGTTTTTCTCTGTCTTGTGACAAGTTTTCGATCATTATTTTTATTATTTTCTTCTCAGAGTTAGATTTGACATTGTTACAACTAATGATGTTTATTTGTTATCATGTTGACCTTCTCTGCTTTGGACTTTGGATTGAATTTGGATACATGATTTGTGTTCCTGGATAGTTTTCTCGCTTTGCTCGATTCTGATTTATAATTTATCGGTGATTTTTCTATAGCTCGGTCTCCTTTTGTGATTTGTTTACTGATAAGATCATATCTATTCATATATACATTTATTCAGATTTATTTGATTAATTTTTTTAACATTTTTCTTATATGATTCTTATGTGATCTTAAATGACTAGTTAATTATGTTAATGATTATGTAAAGATATCCTTGTTATATATTTAATTTATGATTATAATAATAAACATTCATTATCTTTCGAATATTTTCTAATTTTAATAAAATGAACCACTTTTACTCTTATCATCTCTTAAGTTGTGTCAACTCCCGTACACTAACTCAGTTTGAAATGATAATCTTACTCTTACAGTATACTTAATATTTTATAAGAATATTTTTATCTTTTTAGTTTTTCATAAATCTTTAAATTAAATGAATATAAATAATTATATGAAATTCGAATGCATACCGAAACTTAACTTTTAACCACTCCACCAATAATCATTTGTTAATTTAACTTTTTTTCAAACATATGCTTTTACATAAAAATATTTGTTTATTTTAATATATAATTGAACTCAACTGAAATTTGTGAAAAAATATATATAAAGAAATGTGCAAAATTCTTACAAGGCACAACAATTTCTTTACCTTATATCATTAGGTACGTGAAAAAAATTTAAAAATTTATAAAATTATACATTCTTTTTATTGTACAGAGAAATCTATTTAAAAAATTTTGAATTATAATTTAAACTATTATACATTTAGTTTTTCATATATATATATATATATATATATATATATTCTTACAAAATTAGTCGCTGCGTGTATATCTTAAATACTTACATTTGTTCGCATGCATATAATGAAAGGTATAATGCCAAAATTAACCCCCAATGTTTATCAAAAGAATCATTTTATCCCCTTTTCTTTTTGGGCATTTTAACCCTAACATTTCATTTTTAAGGTAAAAAAGATTAATATTTGACTTAATAATCACTTAGATCCTTATTCTTTTTTTCCAGAGCATTTTGACCCTCGATGTTCAACTTTAGGCTAAAAATGTCTTTATGTTGAAATATTAACCATTTATTAACTATAAGTTTTCATCTATGAAGAGACTTTTTACCTCAAAATAAAACATTAAGGATAAAAAATGCTCCAAAAAAAATATGAGCCAAAATGACTATTTCGGTAAACATTTTGGGCTATTTTTAACATTACGCCAAAATGGAACTACTAAAATCAAGGTGAGACGAAGAGAAAAAGGACGTCATTGGTCGGACGGTCATAAATTGATTGGGCATATACCTCAGAGAATAATTTCCTTTTCTTACACATGCTCGGTCCCAACCAACCCTCTTTACGTAAGCCAATAACCAAATTCTTATAAAAAAATTTTTAAAAAAAACACCATGCACAACTGTTTCTCCTGTTATTTTAATCTAAACTTCATTACCCTCCATCTTTACCTCCTCTGAGAAATTTCCTATAAAAAACACACACTGATGCCAAATAGAAGAAGCTTATAAGAGAGAAACCAGACAGATTCACGTATAGTCTTTTTGTCCTTCTGTAGTTGTTCAAGAAAGAAGGAAAAACACAATGAATGTAGAAGAGGAGGTGGAGCGACTCAAGGAAGAAATCCAGAGACTCGGCCAGATCCAACCTGATGGTTCTTACAAGGTTTCATTTTTCAATCTTTTTCCTATTATATCTGATCTGGGATTTTCTTTTTCTGCAAAAATTTCAATATTTTTTTTATCTGGATCTGGGGCGCTTCAAGCTCTCCTTTTTGTTTGCCCCATTTCCCCTCTATAAGCTGATCTAGCTATATGATTGGCAGATCTGTTTACTATTTTTTATATTGATTCAAATTGTCCAGTTTGGGAAGGAAAACTGCTGAAACATTTATTAATGATGTATGTATAATCAACATTCAAACTAACATGTTCATCAAGCTTGTTATAAATTTCACTGTCCGGTTGGATTTGCCTAGGACTCGTCCGATCTCGAAACAGTTCCTCGTTTCCTTTTGTAGAATCAGTGACAATCTTTGTTCTACTCAATCCATTCTGCAAAACCAATGAAATATACATTTTTTTCTAGTTTACAGCTAATCGGATTCCCGTTATTCCATCTTCTGATTTCTTCTAAATTCAAGTAAATAAGCTTCGAAAATCTTACGGAAAGTATTTATGTCCAATATTCTTATCTTAATCTCCTTGTGGATATCATAGATGGCTACTGTAACCTACATCAATTCACCATAGTACGTACATTGCATTGAGATTTGAAGTTTGACGATGTTTGGTACCTTCTTGTTCTAAGAATCTTATAGGCTTTTTTAAAGGGTTAAAATTGACATACTTGACATTGTTTTAGGCATGTTCACATCATCTGAAACTGCAATGCCAAAGTTGCATGATCTGGGGTTTCCCCATTTAATTTGTTTGACACCTATGTTGCTACAATTTACTTCTGTTTTTCCAGCAAAACTATATAATATATGCTGTTTCATGTGTTCAAGGTCACATTCGGGGTGCTATTTAACGATGATCGATGTGCAAACATCTTTGAAGCACTAGTTGGGACACTAAGAGCAGCAAAGAAACGAAAAGTTGTTACATATGATGGTGAATTATTGCTCCAAGGAGTTTATGACAAAGTGGAAATTACACTCAAAGCTACACCAGCCTAGAGCAGCAACTAATGCAGTTCTAAAAGAATAAATTGCAACTATGGTTTTGCAGCAAAAGTTTGATGGATATTCTATGTATTTTTTTTCTCCAATTTCAATGGTGTTTTAAATCTTGTTTCAGCATAAGTACATGTACTATTGAATACTCTTCTATAAGATTTCCATTATGTGTACGCCCAGATTTGTATATGTTTTCTTTTGGTTATGTTCAAAGTTTGATGTCTTCATCCATTGTTTGCTTCTAATGGCATAAACTGCAAGAGTGGACAACTATAAGCCAAAGCGGAAAGAAATGAAATGAAAAATTCTCAATTGGTCAAAAATGTTAGGTTTGAACGGAAAAATATCCTCATGAAGGGCAAGTGGGGATGAATGCTTGAGGGTGTTTCATAAATGTCAAAGCGTTCAAGTCTCGATAAAGGAGAGTTGATTTATGGGGAGTGAGTTACAACTATTTGTGTAATAAAATGTTTGTTGGACCTCCAAATTCCAGTTATGTTTATCTAGACTTCAGCAGAAGTGTGGATACAGGCAGATGCTCCGTTATCTATAATGAAGTTCTTATACCTTCCCCGTGTCCAAATATGTCGCAAGCACGGGTATTTTAAGAAAAATGAATAGTTCGGATAACAACACATTATAAGTATCAAAAAACATTAAAAGGTATTTTAAGAGAGACGGGAGCTGAAATTTTTTCTATTTAGCATAAAACTGAAATACTTGAGAGAGAGAGAGAGAGAGAGAGAATATCAATTACCTGAGATGCCAATTTATTGTCCATGTACAAGTTAAGGGTGATCTAAATCTTCACTAGAAGAGATCAATCATTCTAAGAAATATCAGTATTGATGCTTACTAATACGTGCTACGAGTCCTGCCCAAAAACACATCTTCGATACTAAAAACATATCAATGCATGATAAATTTTTAGCACAACATAAATATCCAAACTTCATAGCATAAAATTTTCTTGAAAAAATCCATCATATGAACAAATTGACCAAAAACATCTGCTTATTTTGTATGTACTCCAACCTAAGAGTTTATTTTCAACAAAAGAGTTCCACAACAATATTTCCAAGAGAACAATCTAAGAATGTGCGAATTATATCTTTTTGGGGGTTTATATGTCAGACATCTACTACCAAAATTGTAATAGAATATTAAATTGAATTGCACTTTGTGACTTGTGAGGATGCAATAGGGTAGCAAGAGAATAGCTTAAAATGCGGCCTTTGTGGGTGAAAATAACAACATAAGAGGTCATGGACCCTCATCATCAAGCCAACTAACCATGGTAAATATAATTTTTTATCAGTGGCTATAATAGTAACTCAAAACTAGACAGTAGAAGAAGGATATGATAGAAAATAGTGATCTCCATACGACATTCGCTACAGAATGTTTTGTGAACGATTAGAACCAAATTATTTTCCCGATGAACAGGGTTTGCATAGATGGCTAGACTAATGTACACTGCTTGAAAAATAAAAAGAAGAAAAAGCAGTTAAGTAGGCAACAACTTCAAGTTTTTCTTCTCCTTTTGTGAAAAACATTAGGTTTAAATGAAAGATTTCAGCGACCAGTGAGGATGAATGCTTGTAGGAGGCTCTGAGCCGCCTGGGTTTGATAAGGTGTCCCAGATATAACAACAATCCTGTCACTTGTTCCTATTTGAGGTTCATGCACTATGACCTTGGCACCAGAGATCTGATTTATGTACACCACAGGAAAAGTTGATGTTGATTTAGATTAGATATCTCATAGATATTGTATATTGACATCAATAATGGTATCATGGTTAGGGAAGATACTTCGATTTTTTTTGTTCTTTTAATTTGCTATTTTTTTTTTTTTGCATGCATGGTAAACTGATAACAGAAAAGGTGAACTGAATTCAGTATGAGCTTTCAAAAATATTGAGAGTTTCGATTTTTTTGTTATTGTAGAATTCAAGGTAGAAGGTTTGTTCTTAACTGTTGTACATTTGGGAATTTGAACATGCTATTTTTAGTCAAGACCTTAGAATATGTTCTTAAATTGTTGTTGTAATGGCAATTATGGCATCGGTAATGACTAAATTTTAACTTTGATTGCCCTTTTAGTCTCACAGTCATGTGGTTTGATTTCTGCTTTTCAGGTTGTGCTGTCTTATGTTCTTCATTAAGTTCTATCAAGAGTTGATTTGCTTAGATGGTGTTTGTATAATTCTTTGTAGAATTAGGAGCAGAACCACTCCAACCAACTAAATACCATTTTTCCAACAATGCCAATAAAATAGTGCATGAATAGTTGAAAAAAAACTATTACCTCTCTTAAGCGAGCTAGATTGCGACCGTTCTCCCCATAAACAGAGTCGATAACATTATCGGGAACTCTAATCTCTACAGTTGTATTTGTTACAATAGCAGATCTGTTTCCACTGCAGACGTAAGAAGAATGGATCATTACTTCGCAATAGAAGATCAACGTTAATCATCAAGCCTAACTTATTATTTTCCCGACATACAAATTTTTCGGTAAGCTACCAACCTGCCAAGTTCTACTCCACCTCTATAAGAAGTCAATCCTCTTCCACTATCTGTGATGCCCCTTGGATTCAATCCAGTAGACATCTGCAATTAAGATCCAGCTACAGTTGAGTAGAACTATTCAACAATTCAATTCCAGCACATATGTTTGTGTTCATGATTGAGACTAAGGTGCAAACATGTACGCACTCTCATCTAGGAGAATGGAAAGAAGCTTACTTCTGATGTCCTCAATCCTGCAGAACGAGGGCGATCTGAGCTATAGGAATGTCCATAGGGATTTGTGCTATCCGTTGCCAATGAAGTATGCCGACTAAGACTATGAGAAAAGCCGATTGATGCTTGCAACTCAAGAGGGGAATTATCCAACAGTCTTTCGTAAGGACTGGTCTCGATTAAAACTGAGGAACTGCTTTTTGCTCCGGCAGTTTTCAGTGAGATAGAAAATAGGTTATCTCTTAGTTTACCAGTCACATGATACATAGCATCTTTTACATTCATATACCCTCCTTGAATCTGTTTTAAAAAAGAATAATACCAACAATTAAGCAACTCATGCCTTATGAAACACCAGTCACATGATACATAGCATCTTTTACATTCATATACCCTCAAACACCAACAATTAAGCAACTCATGCCATATGAAACACCAGAATCATATCATTTTTCAAAATCTCTCACAATAACAGTATTAGAATAAGTGAAAATGCATTTGCAGCAAGGAAATGTAGGTTTTTCCTCGGCCAAAATCAGAATAAGTTGGAACAGCGAGGGAACCGGTTAGAATAACGGTTGTCATAACTCATAAAATGAAATGTTTTTGGGACAATTTATGTTATAAACAGATCATGCTGTCATGGTTTCCTTTTAACTCCAACAGCTACAGTATTAGAACCGTTTGTTCATATTTCTAGGATATAACTCTTCGATTGAAATTTAGGAAAGTAAAAAACTTTACCACTTTTTTGCAAAGATTCCTCAAAAAAGAAGCTAGTTTTATATCAGTGAGCCTGTATATAATAATTAACAAAAGCTCTAGCGCACCTGTACCACTTGATCATTTCCACTGACACACTTGGGGACCTGGTCAGTTCCCAAAATCCAAATGCTGGTACCAGTCACTTTACGCATTTCAGAAATTGTTGCCCCTCCTTTTCCCAACAGACACCCAACTTGGCTTGAAGGAACTACGAGCCGGGCAGTGAAATTTGAACCCTTACCTGAGCCTGAATCTATACCTTTTTCAATGGAAGCCTCATAAGCTCTTACAAAAACAAGGACAACAGCCTTTTGTGCCGGAGAATATTGTGATTCCGGGTCCTAAAAGATATCAAGTCAATGAGAGAATATCCATGACAGAAAAAAAAAATAACTTTAAGCAAATGTATAATGACATAGAAGATCAGAACATGACTGACCTCTGATGCAGTAACAGTAACCAACCGTTCATCACAATTAGTGAATGTAGCTCCAATGGTAACAGCAGCTCCTGTATCACTTTGAAGGGCTTTAATAGTTGCGCCTCCCTTTCCAATAACACCTCCAACCCTATCATTGAGGCAAAGAATTTTGAAAACCACTTCCTGCTGAAATGTTTTAGTATTCAAAGGAGAGGCATTCTCGGACTCCCGAGACAGAGAATGAAATCTGGTGGCATAACTGGTAGAGCCACTGGGTACACTAGGTACCAGGAAACTATGCCGTGAAAGATGATCTACTTCAAAATCAGGTAAATCCTCACGTGAAACCTCAATATGTCTATGAATTGATTCTTGAGGAAGAACATCAATCAATCTGTGCAATGGGTCCTGGGTGACGACCTCCATAGGTCCACGAAAAGTCTCTCGAGGAAGTGCCTCCATAGCTCTGAGGAAATGATCCTCAGGATGTAAGTCAATAGGTCTGCGCAAAGTCTTCTGAGGAAGTACCTCAATAGGTCTGCATAAAGTCTCTGGTTGAACTGGTCCAGTGCTTCTGGTTTCACTTACCGTTGTTTTATTTTCAGAAGGACAATCTTGGAGGCGGAACGAGACAGCAACAAGTGCTTTCTTTACAGCTAAAACAGACCCTTCAATCTACAAAATATACAGAGGAGCAACAATGAATATTTCTTTTAATGTATAACAAAAAGAAAATAGTAACAATAATGAGCAATCGCTTTAGAAGATAGTTGGACAATGTTAGTTAGACTGCATCTTAAATTCAACAGATTCCCACTTTCAGAATATTTTCATATTAAGTACAGTGATTCAGTGCTACATGTTTAATGCAATGATTGACAGAATAAAAATCCTTAAGTAATTACCATGATAAGGCTGCACATATTACTCGTTATCAACAACCTAATAAACCAAATCTGCCTAAAACCACTAACAAACTAATGTACCCTAGGTTTTCAAATATAGAAATTTTCGTGAGTTGCTTGAATACTCGACTAACTAATAAAATTTAAAATATAACAGATAGTGTGAAAGAAAATCAACATTTTTAGAAGTACTTATGAAGTCAACAAACCCCAAGACCAAGAAATAGAAACCCTAATTGAAGTACCCTGGTATAAAACACTTACCTCCACAATCTCCTCCGTAGGCCTGGCACAAGCCGGTAGTTTATCTGTCAAAATCCTAATTTTGGTCCCAGTATCCTCTCTTATCTTCTCCACTGCTTTGCCTCCTTTTCCTATCACGCCCCCAGCTTGCTTAACCTCCACCAACAATCGACAAGAAACCATCCCCAAGGCCCCTCCATTGCTCTCGACGGCCACCTCCAAGATCCTCTCGAACACCTTCAACAGAGCTTCCTGCGCCTTGGACACTTCAATTTCCTCAACTCTACCACTGTCGCTGTCGTCGTCGCCTCCAAGATTTAGCTTGGTCCTGGTATCAATAGAATCGGGCCCTATGATGGTAATAACTCGGTCCGGGCTTTCGGCCGGGGCATCTTCAATCCGGATCTTAGTACCGGTAGACTGTTGCAGCTGCTTGATGACGCTACCTGACTTGCCAATGATGCCTCCGACACGGGACACGTGGCAAAGGAGACGAAAGGCAACGTGACCGGGAGGAGTATGGAGAGTGGTAGACGGAGGTTTGGAACGCTTGGAAGTTCCGTTAGAAGAATTGGGTGGGTCGGGCATGGCTCGCTTTATTGGTATAGAGAAGAAGGTACTGCCCATAGCAAACCTAACCGGGGTAGATTGAAACAAAAACCAAAGAAGAAAAGGTCCAGAAAGCTTTGTGGGTTAATTAATTAATCAATTGATTGGTTAATTAACCAATTAATTAATTAAAATTGGCATTTTTCTCTTGTTGTTTTAGTCTGCCTGGAAAGAAGATAGAAAATTCAGAAAACGAAGGCACAGAGAGAGAGACACAGAGAGGGGTTTTGGAGTTTTCTCCGGAATTCGAGGTTAAAGCGAAGGGGTCTACGGCTACTGCTGCAGATGATACGCCGTCGTTTTCAAGCGGAATTGTTGACGGGTGGATTGTTTTAAGAGCCATTGGATCCAACGGTACGTATGACGCGTTTTATGTATGGGTTAATTTCGCCAGAGCACTGAACTTAGACTTTTAATTTTTTTATTAGGTTAAAATTGATTATAAAATAATATATATTTTAAATATTAAACTTTTAATTTTTACGGAAGCTCGTTCTGTTAATCATCTTCTTCATCGGCGGCAAAACATAACAGATGCAAGATTTTTCTTCAAAATAACTTTGTCTTGTCGGTTTGTTCTCTTTCTGTTTTAATCTTTGTTTTTTTGGTGAGTCTTGATTTTGAACTATTGATAATCGATATGTTCTCTCTCTTGATTTTTCGGGTGTAAATTTAGGCTTTCTTATTATTTTGGCAGTAACGGTGGAATAGCATTAATAGTGTCTCGTTATCGACGCTATCCACCGTTACCCGTTAGATTGCGGACGCGATGGACCGCTGTCGACGTGAATCCGATACCCACTGTGAAAATTGTTAATATCGTTTTCGGACGACGGCGCTACCGCGAAATAGCGGCTGCTATAGCGTTTGCAGTCCGCTATTTGAATCCCTACCTCAAACTTAAAAAACAGACTTAATGTGATTATTTGATCAACAATTTTCGTTGTTGATCGTTATGATCAGGGTCGTGGCTAGGTTTTCGGGGGCCTGTACAAATTCTTAAAAAGGAGCCCTTATTTTCTAGATATATTCGATTTCAGGGCAACAATAGTGGCGGTTTTTTGACAAACGCTGCAATAGGTCCATCTATAATGGTATTTTTTCAATAAAGTTGCAACAATAGTGATGTTTTTTTAAAACGCCGCAATAAATCCATCTATAGTGACGTTTATGGAAAAAATGTCACTTCAGATATACTTTTTTGGACCCTATTTTTTTGGGGCCCCGCCGAGCCAACCACAACCCTTGTTACGATGCATATATAACACTTACAGTACTGACGTGACAACTAAGGTGACCAGTGACGTAGTTGATAATATGACAAATAAGCTAAATTGATTTTTTTATCGAGTTCGAGGTTAAATTGGGGTTTTTTTAAAAATTCAAAGGCTTATTTGATTTTTTTTAGAAAAATATTTTTAATTTTTAATTTAAACTATACAAATTTAGAAAAAATATAAAATATCAAAAAAATTAAATATATATTAACTAGAATGATTGAAAATATTATTGTTAAATGATTAATTCAATTTAGAGATAAATTCTAATGTGAATTTTATTTTATTTAGAAGTACAATTATATTATATTATTATGTTCATAAATGTCAATTTTAATGTGACTTTTATTTTATTTTTATTTTATGGAGATGAAACTATTCCTTGAAAAATTAAAAAAATATATTAAAGAGAATAAAACAAACCTCAAACACGTGGATTTCATATTTAATGAATTTTAGTTTCCTCTATCATGTTATTGTTATATTCATTAAAATACTCTTTTAATTTTATGATAATTTATATTTTACTTATATTTTATGATATTTTCTACATAAATTTTAATTTTATAACTTTTAAATTTTTTTATAATATTTTATAATATTTATTTAGTTCAATTCTATAAAAAACATTAGTGAAATCAAATTAGAAAGACATATAAAGTTTAAGATAATTAGAAGTAAATGTATAAAATAAAAATTTGTATAGAATGGAAATTCATGTTTACATAAATAAAAATCATGTTAAATTCAAGATAAAATATCATAATATATTTTTAACTTTTAATAATTTAATTTTTATTTTTGATATTTTGATATTTAATTTGTTGAATAATTTTTTATTTTAAATTAGAAAAATTTTATTTTTATTTTTCTAAAAATCAAATAAGTCCATAAACTTTTAAAAAAGAAAACCAGTTTGACCCTTGTACTCAACTAAAAGTTTTAATTTAGTCCATCTATCGCATTATCAACCATCATAGATTACCACGTCAGCACCTTGAAGACAGTCAACGACAAAAACCGTTAATTAAAAGGTCACATTGAATTTTTTTTTTAAAGTACGAGAGCGTCATATACTCTTTCACCTATACATAATAAACATGACGCGCACACATAATTTGATTCATTTATTATTAATTTCACTGTAAACTTTAGAACTGATTGAAGAAGAAAAAGAAGCAATGAAGAACTTGGAATATTTTTTTTTTTGATAGAAGAACTTGAAATATTTTAAGCGTGTCTTTAATTTTTATTTATATATTATATCTAATTAAAAATTAATGTAATGATCAAATCCTAATAACTGAGCTCTTTCAGACAAGTCTTTCAAAGATCTAACAGCAGCAAACAATAAAGCAATATGTTTTTAACAATGGGTTGAAACAGAAAGCTCAATAACACTGCTCAAAATATATGCCTCTGAAATCTCTGCCTACACTATATATATATATATATACACACACACACACACACAAAATGTTAAGCAAAAAAAAAAAAAAAAGCTTAGATTCCAGCTTTGAAGCTTATCTGGTAGCTGCATTGCATCACAAAATAAGGCCAACCATAAGCCTTTATGCATTTCAGCTCCACAGGTCAAATATGCATGCCCAAATCTCTACCCAATAGACCGACAAATATCATGTAGGAACTGCAAAACATGCACATAAAGAAGCAAGTTTTCAACATTGAATATTTACTCAAAATAGCAACGATATTTAACAGATGCTACAGATACATGTTATGCTTCTGCAATAAATTTTAGAGAGAAAAGATCCCATGTCGATTACTCTTATGCTACAGATACGTGTTATGTTTCAGCAATAAATTTTTGAGAGAGAAAAGATCCCATGTTGATTACTCTTAGTTATACCAACCTTATGAATAACAATTACTTTGAAAAATATCATTTATGTAGTCATACTCATATAAGGGTTGGAAAGGGAGGTGTTTACTCAATCACAAAACTATGCCACCTGATTACTTTTTGCCTACTATAATTGATGGTATGTGGCAAACAAAGGTAGTGGAGCATTTAGAAAAATTATCCAGACGAATGCATAATAGGCTTACTTGTTTAACAACAAGATTCACGAGGCAGTAAATGAATTTGGATCTGTTTCTTGCCTCTAGTTCTTGATAACATCGTACTTACCCCATACGCCATCTGAACAAAATAACAAACATGCTCAATAACTATGTAAAACGGACTATGGTTGAAGTCTTAGTCGATTGAAGAACACCAAGAAGTGATATTCAGGAGCCCAGTATACAAATCCAACAACAGGTCCTCCTTTGATGTACTGTTTGAATTAGCAATTTAGAACATCAAATAATTAGCATCTATTTGAGAAGTAAAGACATTGAATCAAATGAATCATCAGACCAGAGAGAGAAACCTTTCCATCAAGAATAACAAGCTCGCCATCAGCCCATCGAGGGTTTTGAAATCCCGGGTCAGCAAGTCTCCCTTGCCCTTTATATCGAGCAACCTGAATTGAATATAAGACCACAAAAGCTCCTTAATAAAAGGGTATAAAGAAAATCTCAAAGAAAACTCAAACTACCAATGCAAGCTTAAACATACCACTCCAAATTCTTCAGGAATTATTCCTTTATGTGGCAGCTGATATCTTTTACCAACTCTGGCTCGAAATGCAACCTGTAGATATTTCATGGTACAAGGAGACAAACTAAATAAAGTAGATAATCATTCCAAGGATAAACATCAGCAAACAAACAGGAAAACACAAATGGACATTCAGCAGCATTGAACATGCATAAATCATTCAGCAGTTCAAAATTAAATGATCCCCCGTTCAAGCTCCATAAAAGCTACCGCCATTCATAACAGAGTTAAAGGGTTAAATTAAACAATGAAATCACCTGGCCTGCTGGTACATAAGGATCCCCAGTTAATTTTACAGCTTCCACATATTCATAAAATTCAAGATCTGAAGGCTCATTACTCCCATCATCCACTTGCCACTGGCCAAATTTACGTCTAAATTGAATGACTTCGGAAGTGTGAAGCCCATGTGCACCAATATACAGTCCTGACCAAACAAACATATTGTAAATACAATATTTTGCGACAGACATGAATAACCATAGTGATAAAACATCAGAGCAGAGGGCAACAGAAAATAGAGTAAACAAAATAGATGATGTTAGAAATCACCATTTAGAGGATCTGATGACAGTGCAGTTTCAATGCGATGGAACGTAGTTGATCCAGATAGTGATTGATTTTGAGCTTGATTGAGAGTGAGATTTATTAATTTGCCAACATCTTTCAGAAGCTGCGTGGTGGAAACTAGTTAGCAAAACAAGCATCATAGAGTAAAAACTTAAATGAGAAATGACCTATATAGCTCATTCTACAAAACTTATTCATTGCGTTTTAATATATTGAACCTACCTTTAAAGGTATCTTCTCTTTACCACTGCCAACAAATTCAGCAAGATCAAGCATTATGTTATCCATGCTATGTTGATTGTGAGCATTTGATTTTCTATCCATTGAACCCTTTGTCTTGAGACTAGAATCTAGCCGGTTTACGCCTTTTTCTGTAGAAAAGGAAAATGATAGGCGCCCCTTTTTCACTAGCTTAGCTGGAACTCTAACTGATTCTACCGCTGGCACACTACTGGAAAGTTTTTCTACAAGACCACCAACAACAACTTTAACTGCAATTTCGCCTCGCCTGTCACTATCAATAACTCCATCATCAGCATCCATCTCAAACCAATCTCTCTCTTTGTCATTTTCACCCTTAATTTCATCATCCAATTCTATACTTTCCACCTCAGCATTTTTCTTCATCATCTTCATCTATTATCTGTTCAATCACCTTAGATATAAAATTTTGGTCTACTTTCCCAGGTGCACTGACTTTCAAGACCTTGACCTTTACACCAGGAAC